AGGTCCATCGAACACACACACCATATACCACAATGCCTCGGTAACGGCACAAAGCTACGATGGCACGCACGCATCCACGGATGCTAATTTTCTTATTTACTTCACGGGAAGGAAAAGTTCGGTAACACAAGTTTGGAATTGGAATGTATGGGATATGACCAAGGTAACAAAGCCTGGAGGGCCACAATGTAATGGAATGATGGAAGTTGGATAATGTAAACTTTGTTTGTTTGTACGGAATGGATGCGACGGGAAAAAAGTCAACAACATTGCTGGGCGCAATTGTCTTCTGTTTCTTCTCGTCAGCATGGTCTTGACAATTCACGGCGCTGTTGTCATCTGTTTGGTACTCTCGCCTCGTCGATTGATTTCCTAGTCGTGTCTGGCAAATGATGGAGATACCCCCCCCCTTTTTTTTTCAATTCTTCTGATTATTGTTGTCTTGAAGTCAGGATCGGGGGAAAGCACATAGCGATAGCACGAGGAATTTATTTGCACGATGTTCTACCTTACCGAAGTACACACATACTACACAGATCAGGCGACCACCCTAGCACAGATCCATATCCCCCCGAACACTGATCTTGTGTTTCCCTTTCGCTTGTGAAATGTGATGACTCAAGTCGTCCGCCGCGGGGCCTGACGCCTTGTTGTGCCTGGCGTCTTGTTTGTGACGGGTTGTTTCTTTGTGTCATCGATACCCAAAAGGCATCGGTGACGTCCTTTTGCTGCGAACCAGTGGGACGCGCTGCAGGTAGTCAGGTACGTACCGTAGGTACAGTACCTAGGTAGGTATTCAGCTTAGTCAGCAGGCTAGACTGGGAACAACATAGTACCCCAAGGTAAAGGGACTCGTGCTGACTGAGAGGAATACCAATTTGTTTTTCACGCGTCGCAAGGTTTTGATTCTGCTGTCTCAACGAAATTGTTGCAGTTCTGTTACCCCTACTTCATCTCACATTTACGCAAAGTTTTGAGTGATAAGCCAGCTGGTGTACAGGACGGGGTAAAAGTGCGTTGAGCCGCTTATCACCAAGTGGACCAGAATTTTTGCGATATCTTAACGATCAGCTGTTTCCATATATATTGGAAGCCTTCGATACTAGGTGGAGACTTTTGGCAAGAGCAAGCGGCTAGCCATACAATAAAAAAAGGGGTAGAGGAATCATCGCCGGATGTCGAGGCTCGCTAAAGCGGAAACGCGGCTTGATTAAGATGGATCAACTGGACAGGAACAGAGGTCTGGTTGTTACAAAGTTGGTTTTTGAGAATAAGGCTTTGAAATGAATATAATTTCTTGGTGGGAGATGTTTTCGAAGGTTGTGAAAGTCCCTGGAAAAGTGTCTTAGGTTACCACCAGGTGTGGTAGCTACCTAGAAGCCGCCAGAACCAACTCTAGCCATTCTGATTTTCCAAGCCGGCATTGAGAATCCGCCTTGGACAACCGCTAGCCACCCGCAGAATTCATGGTAAATTTCCAATCCGGCGTCCAACCAACAGAATTGTTCCTCTATTTGCCTACGACGGCGCAAAGGCCGTTGTAGCAGGATCCACCTACCGCCGCGCATGCCGCGGCATCGCATTGAGCAGCAGCATATGCTGCAAAGGCTGAGAGGATGATGACAGAGAGCTTCATTTTGTTGATGATTGTTGTTTTGAATGACACTTGGAAGAGTTGTGGTGGGTTTCACTGAGGTGCTTTTATATTGCGGCTCTTCTGAAATGTTTCTGGATTTCAAAGAAATATATTGATGTAGGTTTGGCAGCCTTTCAGATGGAAATTGGAAGAAGTCCGTCAAGCTATATATACATGTACAGGAAATCACTGGCATTGACTACAAGCTTCAGAGTATAGTAGCTCGCCTAGAATAAACGAAGCCAAGGAAGAAAGTGGACAGAGTGAACCTTGTCCTGAGTCATACATAGGTATGGACCTTGGCAGGAGATTGTTGAATTACCCATGAAAGAGACAGAAGGAAGGGATCGTGACAATGCGGCCTGGACAGGCCATTGGTTAACGGCCTTAGAATTTCCCGGGCGATGAAATATCGCAAAATGGCTCAGCAAAAAACCGAACTCAAGAGAGGACTTCATTCCACCGGAGTATCGTTGGCCTTACAGTCCACATGGCCTTTATTACAGCAAAATCGGATGCAGGTTGCCGCCAAGTCCAGTCTAAAAAGATGTCATGCCACTACAAGATGTCATACCAGACAGTAGTCGGTTTCGTTCGTTAATGATCCCAGCAATGGACATGACACAGAAAGTATCAATTATGCCAACGGTAATCAAGCCATATTATTTTGCCCCTCTTTTAGTTATCTGCTGGGACGGAAAAAATACACACAAGCTTGATATCGTACTCTTACTCTCTCCCGACCCCGAATCCGGCCGCCACTGTTTTCTCTCGGACCCTGTCAGTTGTGGTGCGCCACATGCGAGGTTGTTAGAGGCATTATGGGGTTGACTTTATGAATCCTATGGTAGGGATTCGTATATATGAAGGACAGAGTTTATGACATGACTGTTGTTGAAGAATCAGCAATTGAAGTGACTGGCTAAGCAATCACACTGCCACGTGACGACTTGAGCTCCTGCCGCATAGGTGCCCGCTGCCTCTTTATTACGCATAGACGTGGTTGGTTGACGCATTGATCGAGATAGCGTTACTACACTTCCTACATATATAAATATATCCTGAACTGGTGGTGTCTGTCACCGTTTTCGTTTCCCAGCCCGAAAGCCGAGAGCCAACTGCGTGCTGCCGGACCCCGGTGTATCGACAATGCCGACGACTGCGATCCTCGTTTCGACGACGTTCTCGATGGAGACGGGGATCTGGCGGGGGTGAGTTTTAATTCACTGCTACAGTCCTCGTCCATTCTTGTCCTTGTCGGAAGCGGCGGACCTCGCCCCGCCATCGCCTTCCCCCACAGTCTTGACCAAGTGGATGGACTGGCAATCGGCGTAGACTTGCTTGGCGGGCGAGCAGGGCTGTAAGTGAACGTCACGCTAAGCCTTACCTATATTATGTATAGCCCATTCGTATCTGCTCAGGTGCATCGAGTCGCCATCGTGCTCAAAGCAGGTGTCTCACCGTGGCTACTCTCCAGGCACAGAGCCCTGGGCTTGTGCGTAAGTACGTAGCCTTCAGGGCTGCGTGACCTGTGCCCTTTGGGCCCAGGCCGAAATCATAGGCATGCAGCAGGCAAGCTGAGAGAGTAAAAAGCTAACCCAGAGAAAAAAAAAGGAGAATGCGATGGATAGATCAAGTTCACCGACTTCAGCATCTAGACTCAGTCAGGTCATGCTGTGCTGCTTAATGATACATGGCCGAGGGTCAGCGTGGGTCATGGGACCTTGCCATTATCGCGCCTGAATCGCGATGGGTTCGCCAACGCAAGACAGACCGGATCAGGTGCCGGTGCAGCGGAATCCGCATCTGCTGTGACAAATTACCAGCCCACTACATACCTAGGTACAGTAAAATACATATGCGTACCTAGGTAGACAAAGTTTAGCGCACATGAGGCTATAAGGGCCTGGCGGTCTCGCCTAACTGCAGCCTAAGATGCAGCCTTGTGTCAAATTGCTCAGCGTGGCCTTGGCCGCCTGGGCCGCCTGGGCCGCCTGGGGCCGGTGGGTCTGCCTGCTCACTGTCCGGGCATCTGTCTGTCTGCCCGGGCCTAATCTGCGACCCGGGGACCCAAACCCCGTTGGGCACAAATGTTGCCTACCACCTGAGCATGGGACTACAGCAGGCCGATTTCCACATGTGCTTAGACCATCACACGCGGAATGTACGAAAAACAGGAGGTGGAAAGGGAAGAAACGAAAATACCTAGGTCTTCTCTTATTGACCATTCCAATGAATATTGCGGCAATATAATTTGAATTTCCCAATTTTATGTGCGCGGCATCGGGTTTCAAAATGCGGACGGGGTGTGATGGGCAACCCTACCGGCGACTGAATCCATGTTATCAAACAAAAACAACAAAAAAGTTCAGAAACCGAAATCCCCGAAACACTACGTAAGTTTGAAGTTTTATAGAGAAGTTGACACGCACCGCGACTTTGCATAGCGAACCCTCCTGAACTTTGATCGGTGCTGCCAGCTTGGATAGACTTTGACGAGCAAGGAAGAAAGAAAAGGCTAGAGAGAAAGGAAGCTGTCACAATCTTTGCCGTGCATCGACGTTGGTTTTACACGCCCGTGCAGGCGTCGTCGTCGTCGATCCAGGGACCCTGCCCGTGCGGCCCGGGCACACGCTGACACCTATACGAAACGCAAATATAAGAAAAGGTTCCAGGGTGGTGCGAACCAGAGGGTCTAGAGTGCACCCGAGAAGCCGTGTTATGACGATCGTTTCGCAGTATCATGCATGGGGCCCGCGCCAGGGTGTTCCTTTGTGCAGCGCCCAGAGTTCAGAGTATCACGCACGAACAAAGTTTCCTGACAGGTGAGCCTGTAGTTTGGCTTGCTCTTATAAGACGGGTTTCTAGACAGCATCGTGGGAAAGGATATGTTGCTGCTTGCGGAATTATCTGGAGCTCCTTACTGTCTGGCTGTCAGAGGATAGTTGGGGGTCAAAACCTTTGTACTAATGTGGCTTTGAATGAGATTATTGGGATTATCTGTTGTGTGACTGCCAATTTCCAATCTTCGTCCCGTGTCCGGGGAGGGGAAGTCTAAAATGCTCACACCAATGGCCGCCCCGGGTGTTCGATTCATTTCCCGGCTCGCACAAAATTGCGAAATCTCACAAAATGTTGAGAAACCCGCCCAAACAAATAGCTTGTCACCAAGTCTTTTCCTCTTTGCTCCCACACACACTCTCTCTCTGCCTCCTCGACATGTCTAATGTACCTCCGCTCGTATTGATATGCAAAGTGTCGGACGTATACGAGGGCAAACGCGCGACCGGAAGCCGGCAGCTTTAAGAAGCAAGTCTTTTCTTGTCAGAACAAAAAGAACAGATCACATGATACTCTGTAGCCATGCGCAAACCCGGAATCGAACCGGGGGCCCATCGAGTCTTGAATTAACAGTGGCAACGATGGATTTTACCACTAAACCATTTGCGCGGTCGTGTTGTTGTTGAATGAATGGGTCACGATGCTGGTTCATGACCGCGTTGAAAGTGGTGGAGGTCGGTGTGGACCCGATTATGTAAGTCCCGCACCGGACCCTAACCCTTACGAGCAACTGCATCAGCAGGATTCATGTCAAACACTTCAATGCTTCTTATTTGATAGCTATCTAATAAAACTCAGCCCCCATGTTACGAGCGGCACAGTGCGCACATAATAGAGCAGATGAGCAAGGAGGAACAAAAGAAAAACTTGTATGTGGCGGGTGTGGCTGATCATATCTCGGGAAGATAGTCCCTCCCAAACAGGAGGGGGGTGAACGCATCGTAACGGCTGATTTCTCAGATGAAACCGTGTTCCAAATTTTCCTTCCCGTGGCCTGCCATTCCAACCCACAAACATGCATCCAGAAGGAATAACTTTACAATGTCACAGTCATACAGACCCTTTCAATATAGCGCCCCCTTTGCAGCCACATGTCTGTGTGTGTGGGTGGGTGGGTG